GGAGGGGCTTTGACGTCACAACGCTCGATGGTTCCACACTGACACCAGCTGGCAATTTTAGGATTTCACCACTGAAAAAAATCTGGAGGACACATTTTGTGAACAAAGCGGTTTATATACAGAGTATATATGAGTGCAATATTTATTTTAGGTACTTATATAGGGTCATCAATTTACGCAGCGCTCTACATATATATTGTACATACACATCAGTCCCTAACCCTCAAAGGGCGTACAATCTAAGGTCCCTAACTTACATTCATACATACACATACTAGGGCCAATTTAGACAGGAGCTAATTCACCTACCAGCATGCCTTTGGAGTATGGGAGAAAATTGGAGTACCCGGAAGAAACCCATGCAGGCACAGGGAGAACATGCAAACTCCAGGCAGGAGGTGCCGTGGTTGGGATTCAAACCAACGACCCTAGTACTGCCAACACCAACACCAATCTCTTCTCGGCCCTTTTGGCTAAGATCAAGTGTAGTATCTGTTCTTATCAGTGTCTAGTAGGGGTGCTCCACGGTCATTCTAGCTTTGCGGGGATGACTGTTTGTATAGCACCCCTGCTGGTATGATGGGGGTCTGGATGGCTATTACGGGGGGAACAGAACCCGGGATGCCCACACGTAGCTGGGGCCTGGTAGTAATTCCCCTTTGGAACGTCAGAAGGACCCAGTACCTCCTGATTTGGATGGATCTACCTTGTCTGGCCAGGGGTCGGGAAGGCAGAGAGTCCGCAAAACCAGTGCCCCCTGAGTAGCCGCCTCAGGGGTGCCACTAGTAGCACCTGGGTGCGGGACCCCGCTGTGTGAAAATGGCACAAGGTCACTGGTTTTCAAACTTTTTCTGCACAGCGCCCTTAGGACCAGGCCTTTTGGCTAGGACCAGGCAATTTTTGCTACAGGCCTCAGGCCTGGTCTGTGCACTATTTGGCACGACCACTTTTTTATTTTCTATTTATTTAATTTAACACCTCCCACGTTTTGTCACTTTTTCTTTACTTATGTGTGTGTTTCCTCACAGGATGGAGGGTGTGGGTCCTCGGGCCTGCCCTGAAGTCTAGGGGGAGGATGTGTGGCCTTTTGGTTCCTTCCTCCCCTGTCCCTAGGGGGTTTTCTCTTCGGGAGAGCCCCCTGACCAAGTACTGGGTGTCCGGCTTCGGCTGGACACAAGGAACGGTGGTCCACCAGGCCTTTTGGCCAGGAGGACCAAATGGGAACCTTGTCCCTGTCAGAAGCTTTGTGCCCAGGGGATCAGCGTAGTGGTCCATCCCCTTCAGGGGAAGAACAAAGCACACCCCTAAGTGCACTTTTTCGTGTGGTGTTTTGCACTTGCACTTTTTTTGTGAACACTTACAGGTTTTTTCGTTATAGTTGCACATTTGCAGACTTTAAAAAGAACCAACACCAACGATGGGGCACTATTCCCCCCCTGCTGACACCAATGATGGGGCACTATTCCCCCGCTGACACCAATGATGGGGCACTATTCCCCCCGCTGACACCAATGATGGGGCACTATTTCCCCCCGCTGACACCAATGATGGGGCACTATTCCCCCCACTGACACCAATGATGGGGCACTATTCCCCCGCTGACACCAATGATGGGGCACTATTCCCCCCGCTGACACCAATGATGGGGCACTATTCCCCCCGCTGACACCAATGATGGGGCACTATTCCCCCCGCTGACACCAATGATGGGGCACTATTCCCCCCGCTGACACCAATGATGGGGCACTATTCCCCCACTGACACCAATGATGGGGCACTATTCCCCCGCTGACACCAATGATGGGGCACTATTCCCCCCGCTGACACCAATGATGGGGCACTATTCCCCCCGCTGACACCAATGATGGGGCACTATTCCCCCCCACTGACACCAATGATGGGGCACTATTCCCCCACTGACACCAATGATGGGGCACTATTCCCCCCACTGACACCAATGATGGGGCACTATTCCCCCCACTGACACCAATGATGGGGCACTATTCCTCCCACTGACACCATGATGGGGCACTATTCCTCCCACTGACACCAATGATGGGGCACTATTCCTCCCACTGACACCAACGATGGGGCAAAATTCTTTCCAACACTGATAAAGGGGCATTATTTCCCCCACCAATGCCAATGACGGGGCACTATTCCTCCTCCTAATGACCACAGGTGCTATATGTTTTCCCTCCACTGACAACTAAGCCTGGAGGTACAGTTTACTCCCACGCACGGACACTGGGCCATTTTCTACTCCCACAGGACACAGTCCAGCCCTCCTAAAGCCTGAAGTACAGTACACTGGCCCTTTGTTAAGAAAGTTTGGCCCCCCCCCCCCCCCCCGCCTTCAGAGATCTCAGCTGGTCTAATAAAATACAAGTTTAATATAAAGTGCAAGGAACACCCTAGTCCTTGTATGACTCTGCAAGCTAATTAAGGTGTCAGCGGTCCGCCGCACACAGACGCCGAGGTTTTGCAATGTGGCGCCACATTTTGCTGCTAGTACTAAAACTCAGACAAGCATGGAAAGCAGAATCCGCGAGTAGATTTATCATAGCGTGGGATAATGAGGCCCACGCCGTAAATTCTAAAGACTAATAATAGCCAGCTACAACCGTGAAAGCAGACCTAAAACGTCCACAAAGAGCTGTTTACTAGACCCCCAGAGTGATGTGTTCCTGTCCGCCCCCCCCCACCGACGGGGGTTCCCACTATGAATTTTCTAAGTATATATTCCTAATTAAGGCATAACCAGACAATGAAACGCCTAAAGTTCTAAGCTCCATTTTTAAAGGGTCAGTCCATCCAAGACGGTTAATGAGGAATCTGCCAAGTATGGTTTACTTCTAAATAGACCGCATAACACCAATGTCATTTCAGTGCAGGTAAACCTATCAGGGTCAAGTTCTGGTCGGCCTTAACCCCTTGCCCTCCAGAGGATTTACCCCCTTCCTGACCAGGTCATTTTTTGCAATACAGCGCTGCGTTACTTTAACTGACAATTGCGCGGTCATGCAACGCTGCACCAAAATGAAATTTACGTCTTTTTCCCCCCACAAACGGAGCTTTCTTTCGGTGGTATTTGATTGCCTGTGCAGTTTTTATTTTTTGAGCTATAAGCAAAAAAAAAAGACTGACAATTTTGAGAAAAAAAAACAATATTTTTGACTTTTTGCTATTAAACATGTCCAGTAAAAAAATTTAAAAAATCTAATTTAGTCACAAATTTAGGCCAAAATGTATTCTGCGACATGTCTTTGCTTAAAAAAAATTCCAATACGTGTACATTAATTGTTTCACATGAAAGTTATAGCGTTTACAAATGGCGGTATAGATACTGGAATTTATTTTTTTTACTAGTAATAGCGACTTATAGTGGGTCTGCGGGGGGCATTGACACTGAGGGGAACTGACTTGGTATCACTGACATCCCCAGTTACACAAATACAGTGATCAGTGCTAATAAAAAGCGCTGACACTGTATCAATGGGACTGGGCAGGGAGGAGTTCACATGATCGACCCGATCAAAGGCTTAACTGTGTGCTGTGTGTGCGCTTTCCTCTGTAAGTACACTGCTTTGTATGGCTCTGCTATGCAGAGCCATACAAAGCAGTGTGCAGGAGCTAACAGGGGACAGATCTGTTTTGTTTATATACAGGTCTCTCCCCCAGAGATACTCAGTGTGCCGGCGGGCCGCCCGTGCCGCCCTGTCGTAGTTTCTGCTATAGGGCGTCAGGGAAGCAGTTAAAGTGATTAAAAAAAAATAGGAAGAGGTGAACTGACAGTGTACACCTACCCACCTCCCCAGTCCCTAGTATACTTACCTCTGTGGATGATTACCTTTCACTGCCCAAGCAGCCGATGCAGGGGACTGGGGATTTGAAAGCCGTCTCTATGCCGTCTGGGCCATTCCAATTCAGTGCACACTGAGAGGCCTCCTTCCTTAGCCGAGGTCAGCTAGAGAAGGAGACAACACACGAGCGCATTTTGAACAGCCCAGATGGCCGAACGGCAGGGGATGAGCTCAGCTAAAGGAGCAAGAGCGCAGTTTGAAAGCCCCAAAGCAGCAGCTACTGAGCTCAGCTGGAACAGGGAGATGCACTTCACCGAACGGGCTCATTATTGTGATGTTCAACCAAGTGCTGTCAATAGCAGGACAGAGGGGGATGAGGGGCCAGCAGTTTCTCTGGAGAGGACCCCCAACAGCTGCACCTGTAATGGGAGGACTTTCACCATTTACAACAAGAGGAGCTCTGATATGTACTATTCTTTGGATACAGAGGTGCATAGAGGGGTTTATGGAACAACTTGGGAAATTACACTTTAACCACTTAAAGTGTTTGTAAAGACTCAAAGTTTATTACCTTCATGCACTCTATGAATGAAGGTAAAAAACCTTCTCTGTGCGCATCCCCCCCAGCCCCCCAAATACTCACCAAAGCCCCCTCTCAGCCAAGACTCCAGTGCCCTTCGCTGTATTTTCTCGGGACTCCCCCTCCTCAGTGGCTGAGACAGAAGTGCGAGCCCCCCCACTGCTGTCAATCACAGCCAGTGAGCCAATGAAAAGAGAGGAGGTGGCTCTGTGTGAGTGTGAGTGGGCACATGGAGCAGCGGATGCCCCCAAAGCAAGCTGCTTGCTGTGGGGGCAACTGACAGGAGGGAGCGCCTGCAGGGGTCCCACGGTTTTATAACCGTTTTACAAACGTTAAGAACCACACCACAAACGCCTGTGCATTTTTGGTGCAGTTTTCAATGTTTTTAAACCACGAAAAGGGAGTTTTGGGAGTATTTTTAACACTTGTAAAATGCCCATACTGAAGCTCATTAATGCCTGTCTAATGCCCATACTAATGCTATAGGAGCGTTTTTGAAGAGTTAGAAATTTAGTCAAGTGTGAACAAGCCCTAAGAGTTCCCTACACTGGAACTAGGGGCCAAGCCGAACCTCTGAAAAACATCCCCACACCATAATCCCCCCTCCACCAAAAACTTTACACTTGGCCCAATGCAGTCAGGCAAGTACCATTCTCCTGGCAACCACCAAACCCAGACACGTCCATTGGATTGCCGGAGAAGTGTGATTGGTCACTCCAGAGAACACGTCTCCACTGCTCTAAAGTCCAGTGGCGTCGTGCTTTACACCACTGCATCCGACGCTTTGCATTGCACTTAGTGATGTAAGGCTTGGATGCAGCTGCTCGGCCATGGAAACCCATTCTTGTTGTGCTAATCTGAAGTCCATATGAAGTTTGGAGGTCTTTAGCTATTGACTCTGCAGACAGTTGGCGACTTCTGCGCACTTCAGCATGCGCTCACCCTGCTCTGTCATGTGACGTGGCCTACCACTTGGTGGCTGAGTTGCTGTTGTTCCCAGTTGCTTCCACTTTGTTATAATCCCACTAATATTTAGTAGCCAGGAAATGTCACGGATGGACTTATTGCACAGGTGACAACCTATCACGGGACCACGCTTGGAGTCACTGAGCTCCTGAGAGCCACCCATTCTTTCACAAATGTTTGTAGAAGCCGTCTGCATGCCTAGGGGCTTGATCGTATACACCTGTGGCCATGGAGGGGATTTGGAGGGGTGTCCCAACACTTTTGGCAATATCAATATTTGTAATATATATATATATATATATATATATATATATATATATATATATATATATATATATATATATATATATATATATATATATATATATATACACACACACACACACACACACACACACACAAAGACAAGAGAACATACAAACTTTATGCACACAGAGACTTGGTGGGAACTGAAGCCAGGACCATGAAGATACCAGAGTGTAGCGCTGATGATGACGACATTCATATCCATGCAGACATGGAGAGCTTTCATCCCAAATCATCAATAAATAATGCAGTACCTGGTTAGACCTGACATAAGGATAAACCGAAATATAGTCACATTTTGGGAGAAACATCCATCACCGCACTCACCTGCGGAGCCGTTGAATCCGGATATAAATTCCCGTCTGCAGTCACATGGGGCGATGTACTCGCTCTGTAAATCAATGGCAACGCACACAATTAAATGAGGACACACACTGCATTGTACAGAGCAGGGCTTAAAATTTCCAGTCCTGAGCTACTAGCCAGGCCTTAAGAGTTACTCGCCACCAACAAACACACACAAACAGTGACACCTGTACACAGACATGTACACACACACAGAGACATGTACACACACACACACAGAAATATGTACACACACACACACACAGAGACACATGTATATATACACACAGACAGACACATGTATACACACACAGGCACGTAGACACGCATACACACAGATACATGTACATACACAGAAATACACACGCACAAACACATGTACGTACAAAACACACACACATACATGTACATACACGCAGACACATGTACAGAAACACATGTACATACATAGACACACATGCGCACGCTGTTAAGTGCTCTCTTCTCTCCCCTGAAGCCACCACTGGCTGACAGAGGATCATGTGACCAGAGTGAGCTGAAATTAGGTAGGGGCGCACACACACACTATAAAAAGTTGCAGTACTTCGTTGTTCACTCACAGATCCGGGTACTGCACTCTAGGGGGAGGCAGAGAGCACAGCACACACTCCTTGCTTTGCTTTCACTGCGCTCAGCTATTGAGCAATCTGACGGCTCCCAGTGCCAATGACAGATCCGGCCTGAGCTCCGAGCCTGCTCAGCAAGATGGCCCTGGGGGGGACACTCGTCCCCACCATAATTTCCACTCGCCATTGGCAAGCAGGCGAGTGGAAATTTCAAGGCCTGGTATAGAGTGCACACATGAAGGACATGTCCACAGCCACAATTAGGATATTCATGAAACATGGAGTACAAAAACATGGAGTACAGGTTCACTTTAAAGAGACCCTGTCACCTTACCCCTTTGGAGTCTCTTTAAGGCCCACCACCATCCACCTTATATTCACCTTCACAGCGCACCCCCATCGCTTCTGCAGCAGCGGCAGAAAAGCTGGTGACATCACACCTCCACTTATGTGACTGTGTTTGGATCTAACAACTGACCACCAGGCCTTAGCACCGCATCACGGGAGAGAAATCGCATGCCCCCCTGCAGCCAGAATCACTGGGGAGTTAGCAGTGACAGCCATGTAGGGAGGGGTGGTGGAAATGTGAAGGCGAGTACAGGCAGGTCAATGTTGCGGCTTTAAACAAGTCTTGTCCCCAGTCCTGAAATGGACAAGGTGAGAGGGTCTCTTTAAGACAAGGGGACTGGGAAGCCTATCATCATTTCTGAGTAAGATCTGACTTGAATAAACTTGGAGCTTACACAGGCTTCCTCTCCTCACTCCCGATGGCAAACAAAGCAGCAGGGGAAAGTAGGCAAGGCGATTATGTGCAGCTGTTGAGGCTGCCATTAAAGTTTACCTTTATTTTTGCCCTACCCAAGTAAAACGCAGCTTCACATTAAATGGGAATGAAATCTGGTGTTGTACATATTGTATTTTATTGTTTTAAACAGTTAAAAAGAAAATATGTAAAATTGTATGCAGTCCCCTGCCCAGCCAGCTAGTGGCACTGCATTCTCTTTTTCACATGGTATGCATTGTAACCTTTTCAGCTTTGCTGATAGAAGCCCACTGTTAACAGAAATCAGCAAGTTCAAGCTTAGTTGAAGAAGCGCAAAGAAACGTAAAACATTGAGGACCATAGATGAAGTGGAAGGCCAAGGAAACTTGCAGCAGATGAAAGACACATCATGCTCCCTTCCCTTTTAGCAGTGCCATCAGCACAGACCTGGTGGAAGCCAGTGGGACCCAGGTACACCCATCTAATGTCTGAAGAAGTCTTGCCAGAAGTGGTCTTTGAGGAAGAACTGCGGCCAAAAAGCCATCCCTCCAACATGGAAACAAGGCGAAGTGACTCAACTATGCATGAAAACATAGGAACTGGGGTGCAGAAAATGGCAGCAGGTGCTCTGGACTGATGAATTGTTGGTGAAAGCCTTGAGAGCGGTACAATAATGAGGGTCTGCAGGCAACTGTGAAGCATGGTGGAGGCTCCTTGCATGTCCGGGGCTGCATTTCTGCAAATGGGGTTGGATATATGGTCAGCATCAATGGTGTCCTCAATGATGAGAAATACAGGCAGATACTTATCCATCATGTCATACCATGAGGGAGGCCTGCGATTGACCCCAAATTTATTCTGCAGCAGGACAACGACCCCAAACATACAGCCAATGTCATTAAGAACTATCCTCAGTGTAAAAAAAGAACAAGGAGTCTGGAAGTGATGGTTTGGCCCCCACAGAGCCCTGATCTCAACATCATGGAGTCTGTCTGGGATTACATGAAGAGACAAGAGACTCTGAGGCAGTCCACATCCACAGAAGGTCTGCGGTTAGTTCTGGCTAGTTAGGAACAACCTACCTGCCGAGTGCCTTCAAAACTATATGCAGCTAGAAAATAGAATGTGGTTTTGAAGGCAAAGGGTGGTCACACCAAATATTGATTTGAATTTCTCTTCATTCGCTTTCCATTTTGTTACTTGATGCAGTATTTTTTTCACACCTGCCAAAAACTTTTGCACAGTACTGTGTGTGTGTATATATATATATATATATATATATATATATATTTATATTTTTTTATTTATTTATTTTTTTAATTATTTTTTTTTTTTTTTTTAATTTTTATTTATTTCTATCAACTGTCTAGAAACTGACTAAAATACAATGGCGTCACAATCATTACATGTTCTCATTCACGTGAATGCACTATAAAAAATTAGCACTTTTCTGAACCCCGGTGTGACAGGTATTTATGTACAGCTACCTGTACCAATCAATGACAGGCTGCACCTACAAGCTGGTAGCTGCACATCCAAGCATTTATTTGCTTACATGAATGGATATGCTCCCCTGTATTGAAGGATGTACGGTGACCAGCATACCACCACAGCCTGTCATTGATTGATACATAAACACTAACACCTGTCACTCCGGGGTGCAGAGAGACGCTCACTTTCCTGTGAATGAGCCCCAATAAACGGATCTCTAGATTGTCAAGCCTGACTTGAGGATGTGACATTGACTTCACAATACCTGGTGTGCGTCTCCAGAGGGAACAATGTACGCCTGGATGGGTTCCGCCACGCTGCGGGAGGACCGCATGGTCTGCCTCAGTTGCCGCAGCAGCTCTGTGGTTATCTTTGGTGCCATTCTTGATGCCTAAAAAAAATAAATAAATAAATGTGATTTATATGAACATTCTATGAACATCTCAAACAGACAGATTACCATTTTTCAGAAGGAACATTTGTAGACACCTGCAATCCAGCCAATCATAGCCAGGACGGGGGGGGGGAAGGGAGGGAAAGAACTCAAGCCTGTTTTTACATTTCATGATAAATTATATTTATCACCCCCCACTGAGAGTGATGTGTACTGGTAATACAACATACAATGACACTGCAGACAACTGTCCTCCTCTGACCTTGCAGTGACAGTTTGGGGAAGGCCACTTCCTGTTGCCAGCACCCCCCACAGAAGGTGATCAATGTCCTCTGAGCCGTATAATGTAGGTGATGCAAGCAGCTGGAAGGTGTGTGCGGAGTTTACATCACATATGGGCACGGGCGGACTGACAACTCATGGGGCCCCAGGGCAATAAGGGATCATGGGGCCCCTGTGTCCTTGCCCAAACTCAAAAAAGCCTATGAAAAAGGTACCAGGGGCATCTCATGGGGCCCCCTACTGACCCCAGGCCCTCGGGCAGTGCCCGAGTTTCCAAATGGTCAGTCCGTCCCCTGCATATGGGTTTTCTCCTTACACAAGGTTTGTCCGGCCTGAGGGTACAAGGAGGACATTGTGCATTATACAAGCTAAGGCAATGCTGGGGTATGTAGTTCTGCTGTAGCAGTGGAGGTAATGCTTCTCTGAGCACTGAGTATGTCATCTACATATACTATATTGCCAAAAGTATTGGGTCGGCCGGCCTTTACACGCACATGACCTTTAATGCCCCCCAGTCTTAGTCCGTAGGGTTCAATATTGAGTTGGCCCCGCCCTTTGCACCTATAACAGCTTCAACTCTTCTGGGAAGGCTGTCCACAAGGTTTAGGAGGGTGTCTATGGGAAGGTTGGACCATTCTTCCAGAAGCACATTTGTGAGGTCAGGCACTGATGTCGGGGGAGGAGGCCTGGCTCACAGTCTCCGCTCTAATTCATCCCAAAGGTGTTCTATGAGGTTGAGGTCAGGACTCTGTGCAGCCAGTCAAGTTCCTCCACCCCAAACTGGCTCCTCCATGTCTTTATGGACCTTGCTTTGTGCACTGGTGCGCAGTCATGTTGGGACAGGAAGGGGCCATCCCCAAACTGTTCCCACAAAGTTGGGAGCATGAAATTGTCCAAAATGTTGCCTTAAGAGTTCCCTTCACTGGAACTAGGGGGCCAAGCCTAACCCCTGAAAACCAAACCCCACACCATAATCCCCCTTCCACCAAACTTTACACTTGTCACAATGCAGTCAGGAAAGTACCGTTCTCCTGGCAACTGCCAAACCCAGACACGTCCATCAGATTACCAGACAGAGAAGTGTGATCGGTCACTCCAGAGAACGCATCTCCACTGCTCTAGAGTCCAGTGGCAGCGTGCTTTACACCACGGCATCCGACGCTTTGCATTGCACTTGGGGATGTAAGGCTTGGATGCAGCTGCTCGGCCATGGAAAAACATTCCATGAAGCTCTCTACGCACTGTTGTTGGGCTCATCTGAAGGTCACATGAAGTTTGGAGGTCTTTAGCTATTAACTCTGCAGACGGTTGGCGACTTCTGTGCGCTTCAGCATGCGCTGACCCCGCTCTGTCATGTGACGTGGCCTACCTCTTGGTGGCTGAGTTGCTGTTGTTCCCAGTTGCTTTCCTTTGTTATAATACCCCTAACAGTTGAGCGTGGAATATTTAGCAGCCAGAAAATGTCATGGATGGACTTATTGCCCAGGTGACAACCTATCCACTCCACTACGTACCCTGTGCTGTATGTTCCATACTCCCGACCACTCCACTATTTAGCCTGTGTTAGATACTATATACTATCCGACCCGGCTACATAGTACATACTTCTGACCACCCAACTATGTACCCTGTGCTGTACAATCCATACTCCTGACTGCTCCACTGTGTAACCAGTGCTGTATGATACATACTTCAGACTACCTGACCCTGCATACTTCTGTCCAGCCAACTCTGAATGCTGTGCTGTATGTTCCATACTCCTAACTGCCCTGCTTTGTATACTATGCTGCAGATGACATACTCCTGACCACTGCACTGTGTACATTGTGCTGTACCCTACATACTCCTGACCACTGCACTGTGTACATTGTGCCGTACCCTACATACTCCTGACCACTGCACTGTGTACATTGTGCCGTACCCTACATACTCCTGACCACTGCACTGTGTACATTGTGCCGTACCCTACATACTCCTGACCACTGCACTGTGTACATTGTGCCGTACCCTACATACTCCTGACCACTGCACTGTGTACATTGTGCTATACCCTACATACTCCTGACCACTGAATTGTGTACATTGCGCTGTACCCTACATACTCCTGACCACTGCTCTGTGTACATTGTGCCGTACCCTACATACTCCTGACCACTGCCTGTGTACATTGTGCCGTACGCTGCATACTCCTGACCACTGCACTGTGTACATTGTGCCGTACCCTACATACTCCTGACCACTAAATTGTGTACATTGCGCTGTACCCTACATACTCCTGACCACTGCACTGTGTAC